TATTCCTCTTTCCATACTTCATTCTTTAGAAGCCAGTCACTAAGTCCAGTCCACCCTCAGTGGAAGGGGAATTAAACTCCACCACCTGGAGAGAGGAATATCAAAGAATTTGTGGGCAAAGGTTAAAGCCATCACCAAAAAACCGAACCAAACTCGTTGCCGTTGAGTTGATTCTGACTCATAGACCCTATAGGACAGAGTAGAGCTGCCCTATAGGGTTTCCAAGTAGTGGCTGGTAGATTGGAACTGCCGACCTTTTGTTTAGTAGCCAAGCTCTTAACCACTGTGCTACCAGGGCTCCAAAACCATCATAGTAATTAATAAAACTTTTGGGGTAGAAACTTAGAGTCTATGTGAGTATCCTATTTCTCCTTAAAGTTCTGCCCACTAATTATGAGGTTTATCAGTGGATCCTGCCTGCGGCTATTATTACTGTGATGGGTCTTTATTTCATCATCCATTCTATGTTTATTCATTGTGATTTTTCTGTAAGAAAGATTTGTTCCTTTGCCCCCAATTATTAATTTGCTTATTAATAATTTATTTATATCAGTACGGACTCGTGAATATTTAGTGTATTCTTTGGGTTGTAATACAAACACAATTGCTATTTATTTTGTTGCTCAAATTGTTCCAGTTTTAGCCAATAGGAGTTCTTTCAGGTTGGCTTTTTTGGCCTTTTGACATTTTGGGTTTTGGGGGTTTTTCTAGCCTTTTCTGGCACTACAAGATGCACCAAGCTCATCTTGTGTTTTCCTGCCCCAGCCCTAGAGTTAGCCATTTGCCCAAGGAGCCCGAGTTCCTTGTATTGGAGATGGTATTTAGAAACCAAGATTTGGGTGCTAGTTGTGCTCATTGCTACTGGCGTGTCATTGCTTCTGGGCCCTCAGCAGACAAAGTTAGGAAATATGTGTGTATATACTAGCCCAGGGGTGCCTCAGAAGAATGGCTTGGCAATCTACTTGCAAAAATTCAACTACTGAAAACCCTATGGAGCACAGTTCTACTCTGATGGAATCAACTGGGATTGCCATGGGTCGGAATCAACTCGATGGCAACTGGCTTGGTTTTTTGGTTATTACTAATCCCTGTATACGTACATATCTATATTTACTTTTGTATCTGTCTACAGTGAAACCTGTGAGAGCCAGAACTTGACAGGACCGCCTTGTTTTTCTGGGTCTTGCAAGTTTCCTGCCTTTGACAGGGTGCAATCTTACCACTTTTCTATTACACGTTTTGGTGAAAATATTTCGGCTTTCCTTTTCCGCTTTACACTGGTTCTAGCTTTCACAGGTTTTACTGTATCTGCATATAAAACAAAAAAAAACAAACCCATTGCTATCAAGTCAATTAGAACTCATAGCGACCCTGTAGGACAGAGCAGGATTGCCCCATAGGGTTTCCAAGGCTGTAATCTTTATGGAAGCAGACAGCCACGTCTTTCTCCCCAGGTGGGTTCAAACCTCTGACATTTTGGTTAGCAGCCCAGTGCTTAACCACAGTGCCACCAGTGCTCCTTTATCTGCATATATGGTATATTAAAATAAACATGAGTTCATACTGCTAACCCTAGTCCAGCATCACAGGCTTAAGTCTAGTATTCCCTCTTTGCTTATTTGTAACTTCCTCCTTCAACAATGAGTCACTGTTTCTATAGTTACTTATAAAGTAAATATTTACTTATTTACAATATACTTGCTATATTTACTTATTGGAGCCCTAGTGCCCCAGGGAATAAGAGCTTGTTCAATCCTAGCATACAAGTAGTTTCAGAATTGTTAACATCTACCCCTGTGAAATATTGAATATACCGTGGACTGCCAAAAGAACGAATGTATCTGTCTTAGAAGTACAGCCAGAATGCTCCTTAGAAGCAAGGATGGTGAGACTTTGTCTCACATACTTTGGACATGTTACCAGGAGGGATCAGTCTGTGGAGAAGGATATCATGCTTGGTAGATTAGAGGATCATTGAAAAAGAGGAAGACCCTCAATAAAATGGATTGACACAGTGGCTGCAACAATGGGCTCAAGCATAACAATGATTGTGAGGATGGCGCAGGACCAGGCAGTGTTTTGTTCTGTTGTACGTGGGGTCCCTACGAGTTGGAACTGACTCAACGCCACCTAATGACAACAATCCCTGTGAAAAACAAATTTACCGACTAGAGTAAGTGTCTCTGTACAGTTTTAGAACAATTTTCTAGCAGGAACCTCACTGAGTTGAACACAGAAACCGTGTAGGTGGGGTCCAGTTTGAGACCGCCAATCTATGACTGCTCTGGTTTCTGGTCATGGGAAAGTTGTCAGTGCACACGCAGCTCTCTGCTGCATATTCATGCCTCTAGCCTGTGCACGGGCCAGTGGGGAGGAGAATGAATGGGAGACTCTGCAACAGCCCTCTGGGTGGGGCCGGGGTCTGAGGGGGCCGTGGGAAGTATTTTGCTCTTTCAGGGGTGCGGACCTGGCTTGGTGAGAGTGGGCACAGACCCGGGCTGGGCGATCTCTGTGGGCAAGGGCCCTCGGCAGCAGAACCTGCTGGGCAGGTATGCTGGCCCAGGCACGCATCTGGCGGGCGGGTAGTGGCAGGAGCAAGGATGCCGGTGGCGCACTTAGCCTGGGATGGGACCAGGTTTGGCTGGGGGTGGGGGGCTGGGGCTGGCTGGGCCTGAGCCTAGTCCCCTCCTAATTCCTCTCAGGGATACTGTGGTGACCAGTAGTACCCACGGCTAACACTTATTGAGCTCTCACTGTGTACCTTGGAATGGGGGCTGTTTTACCTCCATTTTACAGATAAGGCCACTGAAGCTCAGAGTAGGACATCGCTTGCCCAGGATAGTAGATCACGAAGTGGCTGAGCAGGGATTTGAACCTAGATCGCCTAGCTCCAGATTCCGCGCCCTTAACCCTGGCACAGCTCTGGACAGAAGAACAGAGACAGTCCCTGCCTTCCTGGAGCTGAGGGCCTATGACAGAGTCATGCAATAGGCCCGACAGTGAAAAAATAACAAGGGAATTTCAGACGGTACCAACTGCCATGTGAGAGTGTGCGTGGTGGGGGTGAGGGGGGTACGGATCAGGGAGGGAAGGAGGTGACTAGGCAGGGAAGGATGTTCCAGGCAGAGTGGTCTGCAAGCACAAAGGTGCAGAGGTGAAAGGTGTGAAGAGCTGGGAGGAGGCCAGGGCACTGGAGGGACAGCAGGAGGAGAGATCTGAGAAGCAAGGAGGAGAGAGAGAGCTGCAGGGCGTTATGGGCTGCAGTGAGGACTTTGACTTTTACTCTGAGCGACCTAAAGAGCCGTGCGAGGGTTTGGAGCAGGGGAGGGAAGCGGTCTGAGTTTTAAGAAACTTCCTGTGGCTGCCAGGTGTGGAATGGCGGGTCGGGGTTGGAGCAGGGAGGCGTTCAAGAGGCTCCTGACATCTGCCCGAGACGCTGGAGCCTGGGTCCCCCGGGGGCCGAGTTCACGGGAAAGAGGCGCAGGGAGGCGGTGGGGGTGAGGGGCAATGGGCCAGCGACCCGCGACCGGAAGAGCTCCCCTCCTCCACAGGGCCCGAGGGAGGTGAGGATGCCGCCTGGGAGGTGTGGAGCGGCCTCCTTCCCACCACTGGGTGCGGCTTCCCCTTTGCCAAAGCAAGTCATTTATCGAGCGCCTGCTGTATGGCTGGCGAAGCCCCGCCACGCTGGGGGATCTCCAAGTTCACCCCAGCGGGCGCGGTCTGGAGCTTTGTCCTCAAGGCTGTGTGGTGTGCGGGGCACCCAAGCGTTAACGTCCCCCGGATGGGGGTGGGGGTCGCCGCCGAACTTCATTGGCTTTGCTGCCCTTGCGTGCGTCTTTGATCGGTCCAAGCAGGCAGTAGCGGTCCAGTACCCCCCTCCCCGAAGAGTGCAGCGGGCACTGGCCCTGGATACGCGAGGCCAAAGAGGACTGTCCCAGTGAAGGTCGCAGCGGCCAGGCCCAGCCCCACCTTCAGCCTGTGGCGCTGGTCTGAGGATGGGGGAGCTGGGCCCGGCCCGGAAGCTCTTGGGACCTGGGGGTGGAGGGTGCGGGGCCAGCTTGGACTGGCCAGTTGGAGGAGTGGCGGCCTGGGAGAGGCGTGGGAGAGAGACACCAGAGGAGAAAAACAGACAGCACGGAAAGACAGAGACCGAGACAGGGAGAAATAGAGACCAAGAGACAGACAGGAGAGACTCTGAGAGACCCGATGAGAGAGACACACACAGAAGTGAGGGAGACCCTCATTCTTTCACTCACTCGGCGGGCACGTAGTGGCCACTGGCTGTGTTCCTTGCAATACCCACGACAGACGCAAATCCCTGTCCCCGTGGGGCTGACAGCCTGGTGCAGACACAGCCCAGAAACACGATAAATGAGTAAATCACATTGTCCAGAGTGAGAAGGGTGAGAGAGACAGGGGAGGGGGCAAACCCGGGCCCCAGGGGGTCAGATGAGCCAGACCCTCCGTATCTCCGGAGCCGGAAATTCCCACCAGATGCTGCCTGCACTTGCCCCTCTCCCACGCGCCCCGGGGGGAAGGCCCACCCCGCCACAGCCGCTCCTGCTGAAGACCTCTTGTCACCCGCGCTGCCCCGGGCCCTCCCGCGAAGGGGCGTACCTGGGACCAGCCCACGCTTGGGAGGGAGGTGGGCGGAAAATGGGGAGGGGTCAGTGTCCAGTGTCTGCGCGCCGGAGGACACCGAGATCCCTCTGCTGGGAGGAAGGGGCTGAGCCGAGGACCTACCCTGCTGGAGAAACTTCCACCCGCTGCGTTTCCAGGCCCCCCACCGCGATGGAGCCAGGAAGCGCAGCCCAGGACCGGAGGGGGAGCCGAGGGCTCGCCGGTGCCAGTCGCCGCCCGGGCGCGCACCGGTGCCGCGGCGGGTGGCACAGGCTGGCAGCCACGGGCTGGGTGCCCGGGCCCCAAGGGGAGGGGGCTATTGCCTCAGACCGCTGCGTCCTCCTCTTCGCGGGCCCGCCCCGCGCCTGCCGGCTCCAGTCCCGCCCCCGCGTGGCTTCTGCTCACTCGGCTTGGGGCAGCGCGGCGGCTGGGGGCGCACCGCAGCGCGCAGAGGTAAGTGTGCCTCCCGGGTTCCAGGGGGCACGGGGCTCGGCCTGGCCCCGAGGGGATCTCCCTGGGTACCATCGCGTTCTGCTAGGGTAGCGCCCCTTGCTAGAGTCTCCCTGGGTACCATCGCGGTCTGCTGGGGCAGCGCCCCTTGCTGGGATTTCCCGGAGGCCTGCAGGGAGCTAGAAGGCAGAGTCGCTGGGGCTGGGTGCGGGGCCCGGATTGGGGGTGGGGGCGTCTAGAATCCGTCGGCCTCGCCCCCTCTGAGCCGCACCACTGCAAGTTTCGCCACCTCAATCCTGCCTTCAGGCTAGCGGGGCGAGGGGCTGTGCAGAGGCTGTGCGCCTCTGCGCCGGTGTCCCCATGAGAGCGTGTGTAGCCCGGGTCAGCGTGATTTGGTGCCCCACCTCCCCACACCTCAGCGTGACTGAGCCATTGACTCCCTGTCCGTCTGTGTTCATTCGCGCGTGGTTCCCTGTGTGCGACTGAATTCGTCTGGATTGCATTTGTCCTTGCTGTGTGTAAGTAAGTCTGGTCCCTTCCCTAGGTCTCTGTTTCCTCCATCTGTTAAGTGGGACTCACGTGACTGTGCCACCGTTTCTGCGTGGATGCGTTTGTGTGGGAGCGTGTAAACCTTTGTGCCTGCTCTGTGTGGACCTCTATTTCCTCATATGTAAATTGGGAATAAGGGGAGACTTGAGAGGATTAAAGGGTGCGGTCGCAGGTGGGAGGTGTTATTATACTTTAATGACATGTGTGACCCTCTGCAGGAGTCTGTCTGTGCAATGCGGATCCTGTCTGCTGCCCTCCAGCTATGTGTCTGCAAAATGGTTGCACAGGATCAGCTTTCTCAAGGTTTTGAGTGGATGAAGGGGTTTGGGCAGGGAAGAGCCCTGTAGAGGATGGGGCTATGGAGGTTGGGTGTTGTGATGTGGGTGGAGGTGGTGAAATGCTGGTCTGTGTGACTGTGTGTTCCTATCTGCATGTTGCTGAATTTATCACTGGGTGTATTAGCCTGTGTTGCTCTGTCGTGTGAATGCATTTGTGTGCTTCCTTGGTGGTGTGTGTGTGTTCTGGCCTTTCTCTGTGACTATGTGTGTCAATGAGTCCCTGAATTTGTGTGTGTCCCTGTCTGTCAATGATCGAATACACCTCTGGATATCCTGGCTTGCTTGTGAATTATCAGTGTCCCTTTTGTGTGTCACTCTATCCTCTTGGGTACGTCTGTCTCCACGGGCACCCGCCTTCCATCCCGAGCTCCCCCTTGGCCCCGGTGTGCGTGTGGCGTGGTGGGCTGGGTTTAGGGCCCCTTTCCATGGCCGCTAAGTCGCACTCGTGCTTGCTTCCGCAGGCCGCCGGGACCGAGCGCACGTGGGACAACCGGCCTGACGCCGCGCCTGGCCTCTCTGCAGCCTTGGGGTGGACGGCTCATGGAGCCCGGGCTGCTGCGGCCGGCGCCAGTGAGTGAAGTCATCGTCCTGCATTACAACTACACGGGCAAGCTCCACGGTGCTCGCTACCAGCCCGGCGCGGGGCTGCGCGCCGACGCCGTCGTGTGCCTGGCAGTGTGCGCGCTCATCGTGCTCGAGAACTTGGCCGTGCTGTTCGTGCTCGCGCGCCACCCGCGCTTCCACGCGCCGATGTTCCTGCTGCTGGGCAGTCTCACGCTGTCTGACCTGCTGGCGGGCGCCGCCTATGCCGCTAACATCCTACTGTCCGGGCCGCTTACACTGCGCCTGTCGCCAGCGCTTTGGTTCGCGCGCGAGGGCGGCGTGTTCGTGGCGCTCGCTGCGTCTGTGCTGAGTCTCCTGGCCATCGCGCTCGAGCGTCGCTTCACCATGGCGCGCCGGGGTCCTGCGCCCGCCGTCCGTCGGGGGCGTACGTTAGCGCTGGCGGCCGCGGCCTGGGGCGCGTCGCTGCTCATCGGGCTGCTGCCGGCGCTGGGTTGGAACTGCCTGGGCCGCCTGGACGCCTGCTCCACCGTGCTGCCTCTCTATGCCAAGGCCTACGTGCTCTTCTGCGTGCTTGCCTTCGTCGGCATCCTGGCCGCCATCTGTGCGCTCTATGCGCGCATCTACTGCCAGGTGCGCGCCAATGCGCAGCGCCTGCAGGCGCGGCCCAGGGCTAGCCGGGGCGCCTCGGACCCGGCGCGCCGCACGCAGCGCAAGCTGGCGCTGCTGCGCACACTCAGCGTGGTGCTCCTGGCCTTCGTGGCGTGCTGGGGTCCCCTCTTCCTGCTGCTGCTGCTGGACGTGGCGTGCCCGACGCGCGCCTGCCCAGTGCTCCTGCAGGCTGACCCTTTCCTGGGCCTGGCCATGGCAAATTCGCTTCTGAACCCTATTATCTACACACTCACAAACCGCGACCTGCGCTACGCGCTCCTGCGTCTCGTCTGCTGCGGCCGTCGCCCCTGTGGCCTAGGTCAGGGCGGTTCCAGTCCTCCCGAGAGCGCGGCTGGGGCTTCTGGCGGCCTGCGCCAATGGCCGCCTCCCTGCACCGACGGCAGCTCCAGTCGCTCTGAGCGCTTGTCGCCCAGACGGAATGGGCTGGACACCAGCGGCTCCATTGGTGGCCCCGGCGCACCCACAGCTGCCCAGACCCCGGTGCCCGCGCCTGCTGCAGACTGACGCGCCCAGGCCCGCCATTGCCTTCCCCAAGAGCTGTTTTGCAGACTGTTTTTGTCTTAAATATAGGAATTTGTAGGAAACGCAGCCGAAGACACAGGGCAAATATATTAATTGAAGTCAAGCGCCAGCTATTGAGTGCCTACTGTGTGCCACGCTCTATATCAGGCACTAGGGACACAGCAGTGAACAAAACAGACGACATCTTGCCTTTGTGGAACTGAAATTCTGGTCGAGGACACAGACAATAACAATGAAGAAATGGCGATAATTGCAGTGATAATACAATGATGGTGTCAGTAATGGCAGTCCCCTGAAGGAAGGGCATTTCCGGAGGAAGGAATTGCAGGTGCGAAGGCCCTGAGGCTGGTGTGTTCAATGAAAAGCAAGGATCCTGGTGTGTCTTAAGCAGAGAAATGGAGGGGGAGAACAGATTGTATAGGGCCTTGTGGGGGAGGGGAGGACTTTGGTTTTGCTCCAAATGAGATGGGAGCCATGGAGAGTTCTGAGCAGAGGAGCGAGGTGACCTGGCTCAGGTGTTCACAGGCACCCTCTGGTGCTGTCGGGACAGGCTGTGGTGGGTGAGGTGATTGTATTGGCCCAGGGAAGCCATGATAGGGACACCAGCAGACTCACCCCAGGTGGTTACTGGATAGATTTTGGAGGCAGTGAACAAAATTACTGAGGAATTGGGTATGGGGTGAGGGAAAGAAAGAAGTCAAGGATGATTCCTCAGTTTAGAGCGATGAAGCCAGGGACAGGGCACCCCAAAATTTGGGAGATTCAGCCAAATCCTGTCTGAGCACAAAATTTCCTTGAGTGCAGTGTCGATCCTTCATTGTAAAAACTAATAAAAATAAATTTAAAATTAATAGCGATTACAGTTTGTTATACTAGCTAGTTGCCTTACAATCCTAGGCTGAGGACACATATTTTGTTTTTCTCACCCTTACAGCAACCTTGCAAGGTAGATTTTGTCACTTCTATTTAACAGATGAGGAAACTGAGGCTCCAAGCAGTGAGTACCTTGCCCCACTGAGCCAGGATTCTAGCCCAGGCTGTCAGGCTCCTAGGCACAAGAGGCCTCAGGTCTGACGTCTAGCTCCTCCCGAAGATTTTTCCCTACCGACCGACACTCCCTCCACCCAGGGGTCTGCCTTCTTGGCCCAGGCCCTTTTGTGCCCATAAAAGGCTCCAGGCGCTCTGGCCACAGCGCCCGGCACGTCCCGCGGCGCATTCCCGACCCCTGAGCTGCCACTGGCCGGGGGAGGGGTGGGGGCGTCGGGTCTACGCTGTGGTGTGCCACCTGGCGGGAGGTCTCGGAACTGCAGACAGCCAGACGGCGGTGTCTTTCGAGGGCCACCGACCCTCCTGGGGACCGTCTCCGCGGGACATATCTGGGCCGCCCCTGAAGGTTACACGCCTGAGAAAGCATCCTATCTCTTGAATAATACACACACAAGCTTGGGGTCACGGTCCCAGGATGCTTCCAGGATTAGATCCAATTCCTCCGTTGGCCTAGTGCCCCTAGCCTGGACGCTCCTCTAAACTTCCAGGGGAGTCTGGGGCCTCCCCAGACACCTCACCCCATTGTTCGATTGTTTGATGGCCGAATGGTAGGGAATTTATTGATTTATTCACATCTCACAAAATTAAAAAAAAAACAAACAAAAAACCTCAGTTCTCTTTCCTGGATTCTATCTTGGGAAACTTCCAGAGCTATCTGTGAATAAATGAGCTAAAATGAGTTTTGTTCACTTAATAGTATGTCTTGGAAATTGTTGCACGTATGCACATTTTATTCTGCCTTATTCTTATTTTATATCTTTTTTTTAAATTGAGGTAAACATTCATAGAGTAAATGTCTTGCTCCTTTTAACTGGCTGCACAGTATTTCACAGCACGGCTGTGCCACCACTTATTAAGCCATGCCCCTACGGAGTGACATTTGGGTTGAGTCCAATTCACACTATACACAGCGCTGCAATAAACCTCCCTGTACATACATCGTCCTGCACGTGTGCCAGTATATCTTGGATAAATCCCTACAAATGGCATCGCTGGGTGACAGGGCGTGTAGGTTTGATTTGGAGACAGGCAAGGTTGCCTTGGGGCGCGGGCCAGGAGGGTGTAGGTTTTCACACAGCCTGGGCCATTCAGCTTATTCTCCGACTATGAAACAGCTCCTCCCTCTGGACGGGACTGGGACCGCAGTTTCATTCAAAGAGGGTAAGGGAAACCCCATGCCAGTTTGGGGCACCGGTTTAATCCCAGACCCTGGAGGCTCGTGGAATCCTGTCTTAGACCAACATCTCTTCAGCCCAGCGTCTCTCCAACCTTTATCCGCTTCTGTCACTTACTTAGTTTTCATTTAGATGGACTCCTTTTAAACTAAACTTAAATACATTTATTTAAAAGTTAACTTTATATCATAAACGGTGTAAACGGCTGTTTCAGTTATCTAGTGCTGCTATAGCAGAAATACCACAGTAGGTGTCTTTAACAAACAGAAATTTGTTTTCTCACACTTTACGAAGCTGGATGCCGTCTCTACGGAAAGACTCTATCGGCTCTGGAGGAAGTTCCTTGTCTTTTCTGCGCTTCCTATGTGATCTTCATGTGGCTTGGGATCTCTCTTCCCCTTTCTCTTCTTCTCAGCTTGCTTGTTTAACCTCTTTTATATCTCAAAAGAGATTGACTCAAAACACACCCGACACTAATCCTGTCTTATTAACATAACAAAGACAACTCATTCCCAAAAGGATTATAACCACAGGCATAAGAGGTTAAACTTTACAACACATATTTTTAGGGGACACAATTCAATCCACAATAATGGCAAATCAGTATCCCTTGCCATGAAAAATAACAATTGTTCATAGCTATTAGGCGCTAGCCTTCGCATTCAGTCCTTACAACAACCTAGCAGGTAGGCGCTATTAACCGTTTTACAGGGAGGAAACTAAGCTAGCGGGAGGCAGAGCCAGGGTTTGAAATCCTGCAGACGAGCTTCACGCGCCTCTTAATCGGAGGTAACAAAGACAAGAAAATCCCAACTATGCAGGTAATTCTGGCGAGATCCTGCGTGCGCCAGAATGCGAGGCCTGTGCCGTGTGCAGTTACAGAGAGCGGAGCGGGTGGTGAACAGCAACCCTGCGCTGAGACGCTCTGGTGAGGAACCCAGGAGGATGGAGGAACAACGCAGGCGGAATGGTCCCGGCCGGCCCCGCGCCCCGCTGTCCTCGGATGGGCGCCCTGCACCTGCGGGAAGGGCGGGGAATCGCGGCTCCTTCCCCACCGCGCCCTCCCCACCCTCTCCCCGCCTCCTTCCCGGGCGTCCCGAGGCTGCCCCCCACGCGACGGCCGCGACCCCGCAGGCTGCGCCGCCCGGGAGCAGAGACCCCAAGACGGGAGGCGCCAGCGGATCCCCAACGGCGGAGGTCAGGTAGGAGCCGCCCCCGGCGGGCTGCTGCCCATCGGGCTTCCCGGAAGCGCTGCGCGCCGGTGGCACAGCCGTGCCCGGAGCCACCGCGGTGACCCGGGCATCCCCACCCCTCAACGAGAACTACAGAGGCGACGCGGGGGCCGAGATGAGCACAGCGGCAACAGCGGGGAGGGGTGACCACGGGGGTCCCCGGTGCGGGCAGGGGCGCGCCGGGCCTCAGACTCCGGGCTGTGATTCCCAGTGGCTGTCGCCGCGCGGGTAGGGACACGGAGGACCCGTCCCCGGTCGCGCGCACCGTAATGGCCAGCTCTGTGGTGGCCGCGCAGGTGCGGTGCAGCTTGGCAACCGCGGGCGGGGGCCGGGGACAGCCCCTCTCGAGTCCCCGCGGCGCCGCCGGAGGCCTGGGCCGCGGGGACTTTTATTCTGACACGGCGGGCCCCGGCTCTGCTTAGTCATGGTGACCTGCGCGCTCCGCGCCTCCCCCCGGCGCGCGGTGATGGAGGCGCCCGGGCCCAGGCGGCAGAGGCGG